TTATTAAAATCAAAACTGGTAAAGAAATATTAGAACTTAAATTCACAGTTCCAGAACCACTTGGATTACAACCAAATAATATATCACTTTATACTGATTTTGATGCAATTTTATCACAACTTCTACTCAAAAGAATAAATCCAACAACACTCAAATACATCACACAAATAAACAACATTCAAACCGATAAATTTGACCAATCGATCATTTTCAAACATCTATCACTAAAATTTAATTCATGTTTAGAAAGATCACTATTCCTTTTTCACAACAACTGTCAAATAAACACTGGATCATCAGATCTCCCACATTACAAAGATTTAACAATACCAAAAAAAGAATTCCAATTATCATATGAAGTTTCAACACCTCAAAACAATAATATGGAAATAATACTACCTTTGTTCAATAAAATCATATCTGTTATCCCCAACTCTAATTGTGACACATTTTTCACAAAAAACAACAACCATTACTTCACATTAAGATCAACTTACTTAAATCATAATCCACCATTAAAATTAAACCAAAACACCATAAACTTAGATGAATGTACAATCAATATTGAATCATCATCTACACTGCATACCAACATGTTCTACTTAATAAGTTCTCAATTTGCAATAAAGTGGTTGACCACATTACCTACCACTTTACCTACCACCTTTATTAATAAATCATTCGAAAACGAGTGCTCGCATTTATTAAAAAACTTAATTATCCAATTCCAATCACAACCTCAGTTAGGATTTAAACCCAACATATTATGCAATTACACTGATATTGAAGATTTTCTACATATAGTAAAGTGTTTAATTTACTCCAATAAAAAAATAGAAGATTCAATAATTGAATATTTTAACTTACTAAAAAAATTCGACAGAAAGTCAAAGCACGAATTTAAAGACTTTGGTATCATTATGCATCCACCCGAACAGCCAACCACCAACAACAGAAACCACCGCCAAAATAACAAAAGACATCGTACATATAATAATGGAAGATATGAATAATAATAATTATAATAATACTGTTCTTGATGATCATTTTGCTATTTTAAACACTCAAAAAACAAATAAAATAAAATTAATTTTAAAAATTTAAATATATTGTCTTTTAACATTAATGGTGATTTCACCTCTAAAATAAAAATATTATTAAACTTTCTATAAAAAAGAATATAAAAATTATATGTTTACAAGAAACTAAACTATTTACTCGTGATGAAATTAAAAATTTAAATAACTTATTTGAAAAAACTGATTTTACTATCTTCTTTTCTTCAATTGATCATATTTATAAAAATGATATTACAACACTAAATACTAAACCTAGAAATTCATTAAATAATGATGAATTATCTATATTAAATAAATTTGAAAATAAAGAATGACTTTTATCATGATTTTAACACTAACAAAGAGTATACATGTATAACAATTAGAGATGATTACACAACCAAATCAAGAATAGATGCACATCTATTGGAAATAAAAAACAGACATTTAATAAATTCTTATAAAATTTTATCACATTCAAAAATATCAAGTGATCATAATCCTGTTAAAATATCTATTAACATTAACTTTATAAACAATGAAAATCTAAATTCTACAATCGAAAATAATAATAAAAATTTTATCAAAAAACTTTTACCATATGAACAACAAGATTTTAGTGAATTTAAAAAACAATTATCAGCTGATCTAATCCAATTGGAAACTGAATCAGAAAATTTAAATTCTCTAATTAATCTTCAAAATCTTGTGAATAAATTCACTTTAAACTATTTTAAATTCAGCCAACAATAATTTAAAATGGACCAAACCACCAAAAGAAAAAAATGACATAATAATTCATTTTTTAAGAAAATGTACATTTAAATTATTTATTATATACAAATTTGTTTATTTTTTAAAAAAAAAAAAAAAATAAAACTATTAATACTGAAAAAAAAAAAAATAAAAAAAAAATAAAAAAAAAAAAAACGAAAGAAATTTTATTTTTTTTAATTTTTATTTTTTAAAATTATTTTTAAATATTAATAAATCAAAAAAAAAAAATAAAAAAAAGATTAATAAATAACTATGGTTTAAATTAAGGCTAATTTATAATTTATTATTTATTTTTTTATTGTTTTTTTAAAATTCTATTTTAATAGTAAATACACCTATAATATTTTTTTAAAAAATTAGTCACATCTCCCATATGGACCAACAGCATATTTCGAAATTAAAAATTGTGTTATGATCCACGATATCGAAGACTCATCTCCACCATCTTTAGCATTCCCACATTTAATTTTTAATAATTTTACAACTCCATTGGGTGAAAGAGTAAATATATTTTATTTTTTAAAAAAAAAAAATACAAAAAAAACACCACATACATTTTTTTTTTTTGTATAATTTGTATAATGAAATATTTATTAATAGTATTTATTAGTCTAAAAAGTACACTTTTACTTTGATGAATGGTTATAAAAACCACGAAATTAAAATAGAAAGAAAAACTAAACAAATAACCAAAATAAAATAAAAATAATATTATAATAAGAGCTCAATATGAGTTCTTAAAAAGAAATTTTGGTTCATATACAGTTTAACAAAAATTTATTAAATTTTTATAGAAAAACGGTCATTTCGAAATATCACTAAATCGATATGTTGATTAAATATTCCACCAATAACAGCATCGGTTTTCTATTTTTGAAATATTTAAATAGAGTATTTTTTTTTTAAGTTACTTAAGTGATTAAAAAAAAATATTATAATTCAATTTTTAATAATATTATTAAATATGTCAAAGTATAAATGTTATCATGATGAATTTTCTATTGGGAAATTAAAAAAATATGGTTATACTGTATATTTTGAACAATTGGTAGAAGAGGATGGATTCCCTGAAATGGAAAATGGTTATTGTACCGAGGCCTGCAAAGAAAAAATGAAAGAAATTTATACATCAGTAATGGAAGAATATTTAAAATACTCTGAAAGTTATTTTGAAGATGCAAGAATTTTTAAATATGGGGAAAATAAACATTATGTTCACAAGGATGACTATGAATCGTTCTTTAAAAAAAAAGAAATCTTTTTAAATCCAATCGATAGGAGTGACAAATTGGTGTTGGTTTGTTTTAAAGTTGGTATTCTAAACGGAAAACCGGTAAGGTTATGTGATCTTCCAGAAGGAGTTAAATGTGATTATGATGCTGATAATCTACCAGGGGGTCCAATTAAAGAGGAAGAAGATGATTAAATTAATTAATTATAATATTTAATTTATATTCCTAGTGGAACTATAATTTCGATCATCTTAATAAAATAAAATATTATAAATTTTTTAAAAAACAACTATTTATTTTTTTTTTTTTTTTTCTTTTTTCCATATAAATTTTTTTTTTTTTTTTTAAAATGGCATGTTTTGAAACAAATACACAATAAAAAAAATTAAAATAATAATAAAAAAAACAATAAAAAAAAAAATAGAAAATAAAAAAAAGAAAAAGTTAACTTTTTTAAATATGTAATAAATTTTTAATCTTTTATATTTTATTGTATAACTAACTCTTTATGAAAAATAAAAATGAAATTGATAAAAATTAAATTGAACTAAATATACTTTTTTACTGATTGTTATTTGTTAATTTAATTATTATAATTGATGGTGAAATAATGTATGATATGAAAATACCAATGTAGTCATTTGATTGATCGGACAAGAGATAAACTTTCACCTTTTGACTGAATGAGTTCTTCAACAGATATTAACGGTCTACTAGTACAGGTGATAGAGTGGAGCTATTGATTAAGCATTGTACTTGATATTCTCTTCATTAGTTGATACCCGATAATGACTACTTTATCTAAAAGGTTTTGATGTTATACCAAAGTTGCTTGGCCAGAACAAAGTTGGTATATTCAAAAATCGATTAGATTGAATAGTATTACAATTTGAAAACTATGGATTGATTACTTTACTAGAAATATTTGTGGTTTTATAAATTGTTTTTTAGGGATTGATTTTTAATTTTTGAATAGGTGATTGTAATTTGCTTTATATTGATGATTTTATGATTGGTTTCATTAAAGTAATGAGGTGGTGTTGATGAAGAATTGAAGATCTTTTAAAAGAAAAATGAGATGTTTGTTTATTTTGATGGACCCTGGTGCACTTTGTATTGAATTGATTGGACGAAAACCCCAATAATTGATTAGAGACTTTAAAAAAACGTATTGATAATGAAATAAAGAATTTGATATAAACTAAATAAATATTAAAATTAAATATTAGTTTCATTTATATTCAAATATAATTTAAATTATGCTAATGTTATCATTATATTTACCTTTAAATTTTGATTTCGTATTAATTTTAGAACTTTTTGAATTTCCTTGTCATTTCCTGAGCTTTATTCTGAAGGGATGAATTATATTATGTATTGTTTGCCACAAGTAGTTGATAATGATATGATTATTTAATGGATTCCTTTTTGGGTGGTGTTGTTAACTATTTTAAATTTCATCGATTTAATCGAGATCCATATAATCACCGGATTCAATACGCTCTTCTTCTGCTTTATTTGATGAACTCTCACATTTATAACGAGATTGCTCCTTATTAAATGATGGGTACTTTGATGATTGTTCGTTATTTGGTGGAGTATTTACTGATTTTGGTTCGCTAGCGGTAGAATAACGTGATTGGTCTTTATTAAAGGTTGGGTAATTATTATTTTGTCCCCTTGAAGGTGTAAATGTTTGTTGTGGACAATGATTTGGAAAATTGGCTGATGAAGAACTATTTGCAGCAGTATAACGTGATTGTTCTCTATTGAAGGATGGATAGCTAGACTGTGCACTTGAATATTGTTGTGGTTGGGGTTGTGAGTGTTGTTGGGGTTGATTGCTTGATGTGACATTACCAGCAGCTGAATATTGTGAATGGGTTTTATTAAATGATGGGTAATTATTATGTTGTGCCCTTGATGATTGAAAATGTTGTTGTTGTTGTTGTGGAATATAACTGTGATTGCTATAGTTGGTGCTGGATCTGGTGTTGGAGCTGGAGCTGGTGCCGGTGTTGGATCTGGAGCTGGTGCCGGTGCCGGTGTTGGAGCTGGAGCTGGTGCCGGTATTGGATCTGGAGCTGGAGCCGATATTGGAGCTGGAGCTGGTGCCGGTGTTGGAGCTGGAGCTGGATCTGGTGTTGGAGCTAGTGTTGGTGCCGGTGTTGGAGCCGATATTGGAGCTGGTGCTGGATCTGGAGCTGGTGCCGGTGTTGGAGCTGGAGCCGATATTGGAGCTAGTGCCGGTGTTGGAGCTGGTGCTGGTGCCGGTGCTGGAGCTAGTGCTGGTGCCGGTGTTGGGGCTGGTGTTGGATCTGGTGTTGGAGCTGGTGCTGGATCTGGAGCTGGTGCTGGTGCCGGTGTTGGAGCCGATATTGGAGCTGGTGCTGGTGTTGGAGCTGGTGCTGGAGCCGATATTGGAGCTGGTGCCGGTGTTGGAGCTGGTGCTGGATCTGGTGTTGGAGCTAGTGCTGGAGCCGGTGTTGGAGCTGGTGCTGGATCTGGAGCTGGAGCTGGAGCCATTGTTGGAGCTGGTGCTGGATCTGGAGCTGGAGCTGGTGCCAGTGTTGGAGCTGGTGCTAGATCTGGAGCTGGTGCTGGTGCCGGTGTTGGAGCTGGTGCTGGATCTGGTGTTGGAGCCGATATTGGAGCTGGTGCTGGATCTGGTGCTGGTGCCGATATTGGAGCTGGTGCCGATGTTGGATCTGGAGCTGGTGCCGGTGTTGGAGCTAGTGCTGGTGCCGGTGTTGGTGCTGGTGCTGGATCTGGTGCTGGTGCCGATATTGGAGCTGGTGCCGGTGTTGGTGCTGGTGCTGGTCCCGATATTGGAGCTGCTGCCGGTGTTGGAGCTGGTGCTAGATCTGGAGCTGGTGCTGGTGCCGGTGTTGGAGCTGGAGCTGGATCTGGTGTTGGAGCCGATATTGGAGCTGGTGCTGGTGTTGGAGCTGGTGCTGGTGTTGGAGCTGGTGCTGGAGCCGATATTGGAGCCGATATTGGAGCTGGTGCCGGTGTTGGAGCTGGTGCTGGATCTGAAGCTGGTGCTGGTGCCGGTGTTGGAGCTGGTGCTGGAGCCGATATTGGAGCCGATATTGGAGCTGGTGCCGGTGTTGGAGCTGGTGCTGGATCTGAAGCTGGTGCTGGTGCCGGTGTTGGAGCTGGTGCTGGAGCCGATATTGGAGCTGGTGCTGGATCTGGTGCTGGAGCCGGTGTTGGAGCTGGAGCTGGTGCTGGAGCTGGTTTTGTTTTTTAAATGTGTATAAATAAAACTAAGTGAAACACCAATGATAAAAGCGCAAAAAACTAATAAATAATTCATTGTTGATAAAAATGAATTGTGATTGAAAGGGTGATTTTGAATATTTTTTGGGAGTTGTAAATTATTAATCAAATATAAATAATTGCAGTTATTATAATATTATTGTATGGGTATTATAAAAAATAAACCTAAATAATTTTATATGTTGATAAAATAATAAAGAAAAAATAATAAAGTAAAAAAAAAAAAAAAAAAAAAAAAAAAAAAAAAAAAAAAAAAAAAAAAAAAATAAAAAAAAAATTTTTCTTTTAAAATTTTAAAAAAATTAAAATTTAAATTTAAATTTTTAAATTTTAAAATCTTTAAATTTTGTTTTAAAAAAATCTCTGCCTCTCGGGGAAAAGAAAAAAAAAACCTTTTTTTTTTTACCTATAGAAAATTAATATAGTTTTTAATTTATTTTTTTCTACACTTCTATTTAAATTATAATAATTAACTTTTTTTTTGAGCATTTCTGATTGTATTTAATTGGTCACTGTAAAGATAGAAATGATAATTTCATTTTTTTTAAAAAGTATTATTTTAATTTATTATTAGTCAATTTATTTATTTTTACTAAAAGAATTTTCATTATGATTTTTGTTATATATTGTATTTCTTTAATTATTTTTTTTATATTTTATTTAAAAGCCCTTAATTTTGTACATTTAAAATAATAAATATAAAAAAAGTAATCTATCATTTATTATTATTGGTTTCTTTAAAGAGGCCAATTAAAAAGACCAATTTTAAAAATATAGTTTTAATAGTATTATGATTCCATATAACTTAAAAAACCATTGTGAAATTTCTAAAACTCAATGATTTTAATATTTTAATTTTAATATTATTTTTTTTTTAATTTTTTAAAGAAATTTTTTTTTTTTTTAAGTCAAAATAGAAATATAATGCTAAACATTTCAAATTTAGAAGATCTCAAACCTCATTACAAATTTTAAGTTACCCACAATACAATTATGAAGTCTATTCAATATCAATTTGGACCAATTTTGAAACCTGTGCAAGCAAAAGAATTAATTTCAAAACAAGAGATTATAAACCAAAAGAAATAAATATTATCAAACTATAGTAATGATTGTAAACCAGATTATTATAGGGCCAATATTAATAAAACTTCTGTTAATTTACTCTATTGGAATCATTAAAAAAATCATTAACAAACTACATGATTGCTACCAAATTATTGATTCACTAAAATCAAAAATAACAAACAACATTCAATTAAAAATTTCTAAAACAAAAAAAAAATTACTACCAAAATTTGATAAACTACAATCTACAATAAATGATACCTTAACAGACCATAACGATATCTGGTTTGAATTTAAATATTTCGGTACATTAGGTACACCTCCTTCTACAAATGATATTTAATTAATATATAATACACTAAAACCATTAATTGAAATTAAAAAAATATACATTCAAAACCTATATAAAAACAAAAAGGAATAAAATTATGATTCAATTAAAAATTACAAAGATAAACTTGAAAAATTAAAAAGTTCAAGAAATAAAGAATTTATAATTTAATAAAAAAAGATAAATATATAACAAACCAACAAGCATCCTGTGTTGCAGTTGATAATAATATAATTTCCAACCCAACATTAGTAAAAAAAGAATATGAAAATTTTTTTAAAAACTTATTAAATGAATCACCACAAAATAAATCAAAACCAATACTCAATAACCAAAAATGGTACGAAATCCCATTCAGGGGTAGTGATAAATGGTTCAAAAATGAATTTTACAAAAGAAAATTGTTAAATAATTTTAATTTAAATGACTTAACCTCAACAATTTCTTTATTATCAAATAATAAAGCAGCAGGGGTTGATGAAATATTAAACGAATATATTAAAAATTTACCTGAATCAGGTTTATTTATTTTACTAAACATTTTTAAATGTTGTAAAAACTTAAAAAAAATACCACCTTCATGGAAAAAAGGTAAAATATATACAATCTATAAAAATGGTAACAACCAATCATTATCTAACTACAGGGTATAACTATTTTAAGTAACTTTTATAAATTATACGCTACAATTTTCACTAAACCAATACAAAATTATACCGAACCAAATTGTCCTTTTTCAGAATCCCAATATGGATTTAGACCTGGAGGTTCAAGAATATCACCAATATCAGTACTGAACAACATCTTTTTATATTCAAAAATCAATAAAAGAGAACTTCATGTATTATATATTGACATACAAAAAGCTTTTGATGAAGTACCACACTGGGCATTAATCGAAGCATTAGAATTTAGAGGCTACCCACAAGAAACAATAGATATTATATCTGATTTTCTATCAGTTAATAATATGAAAATTATCACACCACATGGTATGACTAACGATATTTATGTAACTAAGGGGGTTATTCAAGGTCATCCATTATCCCCATTTCTTTAGGGTCTATTTTTTGATCCTTTATTAAATCTACTAAACACTAATGTAATTGGTTATAGAATCATTAATAACCAAAACTTAGGAATATCAAATAATACATTTTCTGATGATTTGGTTAGCACAACTGAATCATTTTCACAAATTTCTCACAACACAAACATTAAAAAATTCAAAATTACTTAATTTGTAAGGTTTGAGGTTTGAATATGATAACCTATAAATTTCTTTTAAATTTTGGGCGATAGTTTCAATGCATTTTTTTTTGGTTTATAATTTACACGAAAAATAAATAAAAAAAGATAATTAAATTGTAAAAATCATATTTTTTATTTATTTAAAGGACAAAAAAAAATATTTATTATGATATCAGTTGGTTATTTTCCGACCCAAAAAAAATTATTTAAAATAAATCAAAAAAAAAAAAAAAGATTTTTTATACGAATAGCAAGATTTTTATAGTTTTATTTGAATAAAAAAAAAAAAAAAAGATTTTTATATATTGATTGGAAACATTGAATGGTATAAAAAAAATATTTTTATAAACATAATTATAAATAATTTTTTATTTCTAATACCCACCAAAAAATATAAAATAAATAATTTTTTATTTCTAATACCCAACAAAAAATAATAATAATCCTTGAGAATTTTTCGTTTTTTTTTTTTAAATATGAAGAAAATAAACTTGGAAATCTAAAAAAAAAAATGATTTTTAAGAGGAATTACAGTTGTTTTTATCAAAGAATAAACCAGTTATCAGAAATTTAATATTTCAATTTAAAAATATTTTTATAAAAAAAAAAAAATAAAAAAAAATCTTTTTTTTTATTCTGTGGATTTGTGTCGAAAGACGCTCTTTATAACATTGGTTGATTCCCAAAAAATTAAAAAAAATTAAAATTTTGAATGAGGAAAACTATTAGAAAAAAAATCTATAACCTAATTAATTGAGAGTCTCAATTATTTCACGTCACTGTGGCTATTAAAAAAATTTTATTATTTTAAATTTTTTTTTTTTTTTTTTTTTACTCTAATTTTTACGTGATTTTTTTTTTTTATAAATAATTTTTTTTTACACTTTTTTTTATTTTTATATCCTTCTAAGGTTACAAATAATCTAATTTTTATTTCTTTCTTTTTTTTTTAAGGTAACCCATTTTTATAAGGTTATTTTATTTAAATAAAATACTTTGCAACATTCATTTATTTTATTAAATTAAAATATATATTAATAATTTATTTTAATTATCTATTTTTAGATCTAAATCAAATTTAAAATACAAAAATGTCAGGTAATTGGGAACACGGTTTATGCGATTGTACCTCAGATATGAGAGTTTGTTGTATCTCATACTTATGGCCAAATCTCCAAGTTATGCAACAAAGAGCGTAAGTTACTAATCACTAATTTGAAAAAATTAAAAAACCTAGTACTAATTTTTTTATTTTTTTTTAAATTATTTAATAGCACCGTCGATGGTCGTCAATGTGAAGTTGTTGATTGTTTAATCACCTCAGTTTGTTTCCCATTAGCTACCTGTTTAGCTCGTGGTGCCATCAGAGAAAAACACGGTATTGAAGGTTCAGCCGTTATGGATTGTTTAGCCACCTGTTATTGCACTCTTTGCGTTGTCCACCAAAACACCATGCAATTACAAGCTAAAGGTGAAAAACCATCAGGTTTATTCATGGTCTAAATTTTTTCACATATATTTGTCTAAATATTTTTTTTAATCTAAAAAATATATTATTTTTTAAAAAAAAGAACCAATAAAATTTCTGTATAATTCAAAAAGAAATCATTTTATTTTTATTTATTGGGATATTAATATTAAATTATGAGATTTTTTTTTTTTTTCAATTCACCAAAAATACCAATATTTTTTTTAAAATTAAAAAATAATGATTGAAATTCCATTTAAACTAAAATAAAAAAACAATATTTATTTTTAAAAAAAAAATTAACAAAAATGTATATTTAATTGTTTAATAAGAGTTTAATTTAAAAAGTTATCAATTTATATATTTTTTTATTTAAAGATCAGCACCATTGCATGATTTTTCTTCTTCACATTGGAGTAAAGCTAATTCGTGATCGACAAAGAGTTGAGCATATTCTTCATCAGTAACATTGAATGGACCAACTGGTCTGGAATCGGTTAAACTGGCAATAGTGGCAGTAATGGCGAAGTGATCTGACCAACCACATGAGTTGGCATTGAATAAATATTTACAGGCTGATGGTGAAGCATCAATAATTGCTCTACCAGCATTTTGTTCAACCCACATAGCTGGACCTGAATCAATACTATTAAATTAAAAAAAAAAATGATTAATATTAATTTAAAATAGGTAATGGTGTTTTTAAATACTTACATGGTAGCTTTAATACATCTCTTGCTAGCAGTACAGATATTTAAATGTTTACCACAACCGAATCTTTGAGCATCGGCAGTGAAATAGCTAGAATCAGAACATGAAGGGATTGGACCACAAGCTGATTGACTACCACAGAAATCAGTTAAATAATATTCATTGCCTGGGGCAATTGAACAACACATATTACCATAACATGGCTTTTTAAAAAAAAAAAAAAAAAAAAAAAGTGTGGTTAATATTTGTGTTTTTAAAATATAAATAAAATAAAAAAAATAAAATTAGATATTTATCGCATACCTTTGGGCATGAATAGCCGGCTAAAGCAGCATTGATTAAAGCTACAATTACAACAAGTAATAATATAACTCTCATTTTAAATAAGATGAAAATAAAAATATAATAATAGTTTTTTTTTTATTTCATTTTATATTGAATAAAAAAAAATAAAAAAAAAATAAAAAAAAAATAAAAAAAATAAAAAAATAAAAAAAAAATAAAATTTTGGTTTTTTAAAAATATCTTCAAACGCATTACAGTTAACCAGGCTTCTAAAATATAGTATTTAATACCCAAGATTAAGGTAGGCTTTTTATAAAAAAAAAAATATTTATTTTCTTTGTAATATCTATTGATTTTTTGATATATTAATAAATTATATTAAAATTAATATAATATCTTTTATTTTTTAAAAAAAAAAAAAAAAATAATAGTTTGTAAATTTTAAAAAAAAAAAACTATTATTGTAAAGAAATTTAAAGACCTGCTCCATTACATTCATTTTCTTTTTCACATTGCATTAATGCTTCATCGTGGTCAATGAAAAGTTGAATATATTCTTCTTCTGAGAGGGTGAAGGTGCCATTTAATGGTCTACCATCGTTAGCTCTGGCAATAGTAGCGGTAATTGATAAATGATCTGACCAACCACATGATTTATGTCCAAATAAATCTCTACAAGCGGATGGTGAGGCATCAATAATTGGTCTATTGGCTTTTTGTTCAACCCACCAAGCTGGGCCAGAGTCAATGCTTTATATAAAATAAAAAATAAATATATGATTTAAAAGAGATTATAAAATATTTTACTTACACTTTAGCCTTAACACATTTTCTGCTATCAGTACAAATAGTTAAGTATTTTCCACAACCAAATCTTTGGGCATCAGCAGTGAAGTAGCTGGAGGAGGAGCATGATGGAATTGGACCACAAGCTGATTGACTATTTTAAAAATAAAAATGTTAATATTTCCCTTTTGATTTTATTTTTTATCAATATTTACCTTCCACAAAAGTCAGTTAAATAGTATTTATTATCACCTGGAGTTGAACAGCACATATTACCATAGCATGGCTATTTAAAGACAGTTGTGTTAATGTTAGTTGGGATTTTAAATGGATTTGAGAATAAAATTACTTACCTTGGCACAACTGATACCGAGTGAGGCATTAAATAAAGTAAAAATAATAACAAGTAATAAAAAAATCTTCATAATTATATATATATATAAATAAAATAAAATAAAAAAATAAAATGTATTTAGTTTAAATAGCTAATTAAAAAAACTAAAAAAAAATAATAAAAAATAAAAAAAAACAAAAATAATTTAGAGAAAAACCAGGAATACATTAACATTTATTTTTTTATTTTTATTTTTTATAGTTTTTTATTTTTTTATTTTTTTGCACAGATTTAAATAAAATTTAAAAATAATAATATATTTTATCTGAATTTGTTAGGGTATTGATTTATATTTTATATTTTATATTGTTTTTTTTTTTTTTTTTTTTTTTTATTATTTTTAAAAAAAATAAAACAAGAATTCAATTTAATAAAACTAGTGATTATTTTTACAAATTAATCAAGTTTATTGGTAATAATAGATGATTTATTTCATTTTAAAATGAAATAAGGTGGAAATAAATAAATTTTTAATTTTTAATTTGAAAAAAAAAAAAGAATTTTTTTAATTTTTTTTTTTTAATTTTTTTCGTTTTTTTTCTTTTTTTAAATTTTTTTATTTTTTTTATTCTATTTTTTTGTTTTAAATTAATATTAATTTTTAATTAATATACTAATACTAATTACAATAATGTCATCAAAGAAAGCTACTAAAATTGAAAACGAAATTGAAGATCCAAAAGCTGTTTATTTGGATGTTTTCGATAAAAGTAAAGATTTAAAATCATTAGCTGACGAAATTCAAAATATTTCAAATAATAAAGATTTCGAAATTTTAAAGAGTGATAAAGAAAACTATAAAAATGCCGAATCATTATACAGAGAAAGAAGAGAATTATTAAAAGAGATTCCAAATTTTTGGGCTACTATTGTATGTATTATTAACTTCATCTTTTTTTTTTCTTTTTTTTTTTTCAAATTCATTTATACATGAAATTTATAACAGAATTTTTTATTAACATTAAGTTTTTATTTATAAACTTGTATAGTTCACCAATTTATTTTTAGGTTTAGGATCATTTGAAAATTTACCACAATATGTTTCAGATTTCTTTGTTGAAGAAAGTGAAACTGATTTTACCTTATATATCGATTTTAAAGAAAATAATATTATAAAGAATAAACAAATTGTTATTTCAGCTCAAACACCATCAAAACCAGAGAATATGTTAGAAGAAACTAAAATTACTTCAACTCCAGTTGAACTTTATGAAAAATCAAAAGAAAATAATAAACACCCAGATATGGATGATCAATTCGAACCAGAAGAATTGGAAGAAATCCAAGGTTTCTTAAGATTTTTAAAAGAACCAACTAAAGAAATTTGCAGTTTTATTGTTGGTACCATTTGGATGGATCCAATTGCATCATTCAACAATGACCAAAGCGATGATGAAGATGACGAAGAATAAAAAAAATAAAAAAAAAATAATAATATTTAATTAAATATCTCATGTATATATTTATTATAAACCTCAATATCTTGTTACAATTTGTAATTATCTAGAAAAAATGAGTATATCTTATTTGATTTTATTTTTTTTTTTTTATTTTTTTTTTTTTTCTTTTTTTTTAAAATTTTTTTTTAAATTTAAAAAAAGATTTTTTATTTTTTTTCAAGCGACAACGCATATACACAATATATTTATTATTTTTAAAAATAATAAATATAAACACACACACACACACACTAATAACACAAACTATATTATTTCACACATAAAATAACAATATTTATAAATTATCAATATAACAATAATAATACACAATATCATAGTTATCAGTTTATAGTGTCACAGAATTATATAAAATTAATGTATTAAATAGATAGAAATAAAGTAGTAAATTATGATTATGGAACAAATTTTATACGAAACTCAAACATTTTGCCCAGTTTGCACAATTTTAGATAGAAAGGGATTGGTTTTAAAGCCAGCAATTGTTGTCGAAAGGAATGAAAAGATTTATTTAAAATGTTTATGCGATCAGCAACATCAGCAAACAATAGAAACATTATATTGCTCCTCCAATAAGTTTTTTAAAAGAATGATGTCCTACGATCCAGTCATAGGTACCAATAAATTAAATGGTAATGGAGGAATCAAAGATATCGAGTCAATGGGAAAATATATAAATAAAGATGATCAACCAGAAATAGCAAAAAATCCTACAAGTTCCAATTTTATATTAGAGTTTAACATCTTTCAAAATCAAAAGTTTTTAAATGATGAAGAAATTAAACAACAATTATTACAATTTCAAACATATTATCCAAAAAATAGAAAAGTAAATAATTATAGTAACAACAACTATAATCGCTATAAAAACTATACATATTAACTCTTTTTTTTTTTATATTTTTTAGTTTGTGTTAAAAATTATAGCTAGGGGTTGTAATGATATAGTTTCAATAAATGAAAAGGTTAGATTTATATCAGTTCAGTTAAAGGGATATGCTATCTTATTGGAGTGTACATTGGATAGGTTACATTCGATCGCAAAATTGGGTGATTCAGCATTATTGGGTGCAAAGGTTTATCCAGCAGTAAAATATTTTTTAAAAAGAGGCGATGAAAACCATTTCATTAGAGATATCAATAATTTATTAAATGTGTTAAGAGAATATTCAGATATTCAATGTGTAGTTACTATAGCAATGGAAAGAAAGTTTGCCAATCTTGGTGAGATTTTATCATTACTCAGAAAAAATAATACATTAATTAGGTTTATAGTATTATCATTAGAAAGACCACCAAAGGAATTAGTAGAATCATTAAAAATCAAAAATCAATTATCATTGGATCAGGTTTTTACAAATAATTGTAATATTACAGATAATTATGATGGTGGTAATAATAATAGTAATACAGGTAGCAGTAGTAACGAATCGACAGCATCAACAAATAATAGTGATATTCAAGATACACTATGCTGCAACTTTAATGACCCTTATGAGTTAATTCAAGAGATTGAAAGGGCAACAGATAATACAATTTGTTCAGATGATTTCTTCCCATTGAATATCGGCCAAGCTTTAGAACCAATGTTTAATTTAATGGGATATGGGTTGTACAGTATTAAGCCATCCTCATATTGTTCATTCGCAACATGTTTGGTTAACACTGATACCGTAGAGTCCAGACCGATTAATAGGCTCCTAAACTTTTCAAAATTATATTACGATCTCTTACCAATTCTCCCAAATATAGAAGAAAAGATTGGTTTCTTTAATGGTTTAAAAATCAAATCTCTCTTAAAGAATTGTAATTTACCTGGTGTTCCTTTACCTAATATTTTCGATTACCTTACCGATAAATCAAAAGCCGAAACAACTCGTAAAGTTATTGACCAAACTCAAATTTTAATCATTCACAATAACATGGACTTGGCCTCTTTGGACCTAAAAAGAAGATGCCATTGTTCTGTAGAAACAAAAATAAAAGATGGTTATATTTCATCGTGTACTGGTTGTATATAAATAATAGTTATAATAAACTATATAATATATAAAAATCTAGTAATATATAAAATATAATGGTACAATGAAATAAATAATCTTTATACTCGAAAATTTTTACAATATATATATATAAATTTTTATAATATATATTTATTTATTTTCATTTTTTTTAATTTTTTTTATTGTTATTTCTTTTAATATCTATTATGTTTTGGTTTAACTAACTCCCTAACTTCTGATGTAATGTTAATGTCTAAATCATAATCTGGGAAGCATGTGTTTAAAATATCGGTGAGAATATCTAATGGTGGATCGCCATAGCCATAGGATGTGCCATAGGTTTTTATTTTTTTATTTTGATGATCTATTGTACAAATACCACCACCCAAACATTTTGGTGACCTGAATGCGTTTTTATTTAATTCTCTAGTGTTAGAAACATACCAATCTTTTTGACCACTGTGATATGCCTCTGTGTCAGTTGATGCAAATACATATCTTTTTTCAAGATTTGGAAGTTCTTTTCCATTACCATCTGTTTTTTGATTTGGTAATAATTCCAATATTACATATTTTTCGTCATCTTGATGATTGATTATACATTGATATGAGATATTGGAGTTTTCTTTCTTATAAACTCTACTACTCAAAAATAATTCTGTTTCTAACATTTCTTTTTTTGAATATTTATTAAATTTAAAAAAATTAAAAAAAAAAAAAATTGAAAAAAAAAATTAAAAAAAAAAATTATTTAAAAAAATAAAAATAAAAATTATTTAAGTCAAAAAACCTTTTTGGGTGTTGTTCAATTAATATGCTTGTGGTAAGCACACTTATTTATTTAGGTTTCGTTGAAAGCTTTAAAAAGAAATATTTTTAATTATTTTTTATTATTTTTAAGAAATGTAAATTTGTTTTTTTTTAAATTTTTAAATTTTTTTTAAGTTTACTTTTTTTAATTTTGTTTTTTTTTTTTTTTAATTTTGTTTTTTTTTTTTTATTTTTTTAAAAATATATCTATTTAGTTATGTTTATATATAAATAAAAATAAATTTATTTATAAATTATATTAAATTATATTTTTATTTAAATAAATATATAAATATATAAATAAATTGATAATTTAGATAAATAAATAATGGAACCTTTACCTCAACCATACTATCCAAATTCAGGAGGATTGGAATCAGACAACGAGTGTTGTCAACAAATAGTAGTTCCTCCATCTATGACACAACCAATGGTTATACCTACTTTACCATCAATTTCATCAATCGTTTCTCAAGAGAATCATAAACAATATCAATTGGTTAAAGAATTTAGGGAATGCCATATCGATTCTAAATTGATGTCAGTTTTGTATTCAGAGTTTAGAGTATCACCCAAAAAAGCAACCAATATATATGAAGATTGGGTTAATAGTTTATGGTTTACACCAACTGGGTAAATAACAATAGATACAATTACATTACGTTCAATTTTAGATTTCATTTTTAACAAACCTTTTTTTAAAAATCTCTTTATATAGATTCAAAAAAATTATGGACTCAGAATCATTGAAAAAAGTTTATATACCATTTTATTCATACAAAGTTGGTTACAATGTAGAATTTTCTGGATTTGTTACATATGATTCATTATTACATACCAAATATTCATACGAAAAACAAAATCGACATCAACAACCATCACCAAAAAATAAAACACCATCAACAAACTCCTCAGTAATTTCAGGTACAGGCGAAATAAATACAAACAATTTCAATTTACCATTAGAGGAACTAATAAAAGATAAAGGTGTGGAATGGAAAAAGGTTGATGGCTATATAACAAGAACTGTAAATCGAATATTATTGTTGGGGTGCAATTCAATGAGTTTACTCATTGATGATGGTATAATGAATTGCATGGATATTCATTTCGATTTTTTAAAAACAACAGAATCTACACTGGGAGACTTTGAAAAGCATGCAATACTCGAACAAGCCGATGTACTAAGTAGATATGAACCAGAAATGGTTTGGAACCGTGACTATTCAAACTATCTATTGGAAAAAGAACAAGCAATGTCTGTAGAGTATTTAAAACAACAAGAACAAACTTTATTCGTCAAGAATGTTTCATCAAATGTAATATACAATGAAAAGCTATTCAATCTAGTCTATATACCATTCTACTACTCAACCTATGAATATCAAGACCAATCATACTCATTCTTTTTAAATGCTCAAAATGGCATGATATCAGCCAATAGACCCAGCAAATTAGGGCTTGGAAAAATTGGTGATTTGTTTAAATATACTTGTAATTATATCTCAACTATGGTGGGATCAATCGAGCCTACAACAAAAATCAAAGGCGACGAATTGGGCGACCATGATCAATGGAAGGTTTATTGTGATTCAAGTTATTTCATTTGTTTTACAAGATCTGCTACAAATCTATTTACCGGAAGTTCAAATGGCTTCTTTGTTGTAAAAAATAATAGTAGAATAGAAAGAGCCACCCTCAGGGGTCAAAAGAGAAGAAGTGTTAAAAAGGGTAATATTTTCGAGCTTTTGCCAATGCAAGAACGTACTTTTTCATTTAAAGGCCATTGGTGTTTAGAAATTATTAAGGGCGAAGTAAATCAAATCGAAATAATTAAAATCAATCATTCAAATGGAGGAAATATTTACCAATCAATCAAAAACTAATTTTAATAAATTTTTTTTTTTACAAGTATTTTTTTATAAAAATTTTTTTAAAACAAATAAATCCAAAATCTTTTTTTTTTTATTTAACGAAATTTAATTTAGATTACTCTTATTTTATTTTTAAAATTAGGTCATAAAAATTAATTTTATTATAATTAATTTTCAGATATCTTAATTTTTTTCATTCTTTTTGTTTCTATCACACCCATTCTTTTTTTTATTCTTTGAATGTTTTGACAAATAAAAAAATTTCAAAAAATTAAAAAATAAAAAAATTAATTTTTTAATTTTAAGACACTTTTTTATTTTTTATTTTTTATTTAAACTGCATAATCATTTAAATTAATTTAAAAGCCCTTGGCAATAGATAAAAAACCTATAAATATAGATTTTACAAATAATAATAAAATTAAAATGGATAATATTAATTTAATAGATAATGATAATGATCATTTAGCACCACCACCCTTAAAACCAACCTTATTAAAAAAACAACCACAAAGACAACAAAGATCTAACCAAAGCTCATTAACACCACCCCCACTACCATCGTTGGTATTACCAGTTCCAACAATGACCTTAATAAAAAAAAATCACTATGAATCCAGATCCCCATCAACCGAATCAGATATAGAATTTAAAAATTCTTTATCAACAAACCCAGATATTAAAGTAATTAAAAAACTAGCTGAAAGAGGCCATTCATCATCACAAGCCTGGCGTAAGTATAAAATAAATAAATAAATAATAAAAATAAAATAATAAAAAGAAATAAAAATTAATAAAAATAAATTATTAATTTTAAACTTTAGTTGGATCGTCATATTTTTATGGTGATAACAATATTAGACTTAATCCAGATAAAGCCTATAAATGGTTAAAAAAGCAGCAATTCAAGATCACCCAAAAGCATGTTATGATTTATTTAAACACTATGCCACTACAGGTAATGACAGAGCCAAAATAGAATTTTGGTTAGAAAAGAGCTCAAATTTAGGATATGAAGAAGCATTAGCAACATACTCTGTTTATTTACATGATGGTACATTAAATTATCACAACTACCAAAAAGCATTCAACCTTTTTAAATTATCAGCGTCATTAGGTGTAGATAATAACTGCTCTTCTCATATAGGTATTTGTTTTTATGAAGGTCATGGTCATGTAGTGGATTACAACGAAGCTTATAAATTCTTCTATATCGCCGCCCAACAAAATAACGAGTCGATAAGCTTCTTTTACTTAGCTCAATGTCTTTATTATGGTCACGGTGTAGAAAGGAACTATGAATTAGCAGCACAGTGGTTTCAAAAAAGTAGTGATGCAGGCTATGGTATTGGCTCTAATGGTTTAGGATTATGCTATTTACGTGGTCATGGTGTTCAACAAGATTTCCCAAAAGCCAAAGATATATTTAATATAATAAAGCATGAATACCCAGATTTGGATGTAGATATTAATTTAAAAACATCTATACTCTGTATGGAGCATAGATATGAACCAAACGAAATCAATAATTTTATTCAAGAAAATTTACAACAACCTATAAAACCAAAATCAAGCAAATCGGCATTGAAAGCAGAAAAATCAAAAAAACATACCTTTGGTCTTAGTAGTAATACTGCGGGTGTGCTTGGTATTGTCTCATCAACTTTAGATGCAGGTTATCAATTTTAAATAAACTATTTATAAGAGTTTTATTTTTATAAAATATATAAAATAAAATATTGTAATTTTATAAAACAATAAGTTAAAATATATAGTTTAAAAATAAATAATAAATTTTATAGTTTTAGATTTTATAATATTTTTATTTAAAAATTAATTATTTTTTTTTTTTTTGATTTTTTTTTCGATTATATATTACTATTATTTATATGATTTAATTATTTCTGTATAAAGGATTAAAATCGTTAAGTTTTTCAGTTTCTACAATAAGATCTGGTTTTGATAAGATTGGACTTGGAACTGGTTTAGTGGTTTTTTTACTATGTTGACGGTATCTCTTGTAACCTTCAGCATTACCGAGTTCTCTATGGATTTTCTTTACAGCAAATTCGGCCTCTTTAACGCCATAGAAAGCATTTGATGAGAGGGCACGATATGATTCTTGAATGATTTCTTTATGAGCTTCTTTATTTTGTGGTTGATTTCTAATAGTTTGAAGTTTGAGGTAAGAGTTTGGTGGAGCTAAAACGCTGGTATAAATATTTTTACCAGTTGGAAGAACTGGAATGACATATGGAGCTTTAACTGGTGGATTAAGTTTATTTTGTTCTAATTGTTTATCTCTCATTTGTTTGGCAAAAGCACGTCTCTTGGCTAAAACTTTCATTTTCTTTTCGTTTCTCTTAACATACATATCGGCTTCAGCTCTAAGGAGATCTAAATCTTCTTCGTAAGTACCTTCCATTAATTCAAAGAGTTCCATTTCTTCAACAGCATCTTCAAATTGCTGGATACCCTCTGGATGAATTAAATCGGCATTTTCTTCTTCTTCGTTTTCATTTTCATCAAATCTGAAACCAAGACCACGATCATCTTCGTGGTCATAATCTTCTGGGTATTCAAGTTCGCTATATTCATCAATAGATTCTGATTCTTCTTCGACATCGATATCATCAAAGCTAGCTGTTTTATTACCACTTAATGATCTAATTTCTTGAAGAATTTGTTCAACCTTGGCATCTTCCTCTGATGATTGTTCTAATTCTTGAGTTTCTTCACTTTCTGGGGTTTCTAAAATTTCGATTAATGAATTGTAAGCTTCTGGTGATAAACGAGCTTTAATTTTTTCTAATATTTTATCTTGGACAAGACCATCATAATAGTTGTTACCAAAATCTTCTTGAACTGATTGAAGGAGATCTTCTTTTGATAATTGTGATCTTTTAGCTTCAATAGATTCTTGAATTTTACCAAAGTCTACTTCAAATGGAACTAATTGGTTATCTTCTTCTGAGAATGCATTATTATTTTCACCAGAGAAAGTAAGTTCGTCATCGTCGAGCTCGCCAAAAGTAATGGTGTTTTCTTCAGTTTCGATGGTTAAAAAGAGCGAATCGGTGTATTGCTCCATATCTTTAACAAACAGTTCATCACCGTCTTCTAAATATTGTGGAAGCTCTTCATGTTCTTCACCTTCTCCAACACCGGCATTAGCAAGTTCCTCATTGAAAAATGGATCGTTTAAGTCGTTGGCCATGATAGCATTACCTTTACCTTCTTCTCTGAAAGATTGTGGAACTTCACTTTCATCCATATCGGTTGGGTGTGTTACTTCTGTTGGTTCTTCTTCGTAGCTTTCATAGCTTTCGTCATCGTATTCACCCTCTTCATATCCACAAATTTCACCACTTTCATCTCTAAGAACAAATCTACCTTCTTCATCATTGTATTCGTGGAATACACTATTTTCATCATAATATCCACTAACTCCTTCGTATTCGTAATCTTCTATATTTTGATGGACTTTGATTGAGGTATCTTTACTATTTTCCTTATGTTCTTCTACTTCGTGGTCCTCTGAGAAATCGACACCTTCTTCTTCTTCACCTTCATAATCTTGTTCTTGACTATGGGTATATTCGGTTTCTTTAAATTCTTCGGAATCAAGAGTTAAAGTTTCGTCACTATCTAAAAATAATTCTGCATCAATGTTGGTATCGTCTTGTTCTGATGGATTATTTAAATCACTTTCGATGGTGTACTCTTCTGATAATGGTGAATTTTCTTGATCGTTTAATTCAATGTTACCAATTTTATCTGATTCTGCTGAAGCTGATGCTGATCCTGATTCTGATGATGGCTTAATATTAAAATGTTCACTAATATTTAAAACTGATGAAACAATTGATGAATCAATTAAACCTTCAGTTTTTGATTGTTGTAATTCTGGTGATGATGATGATGATGATGGCTTATTAGTGGTGGTTTTATTTCCAGTAATAATTTGTTTGTAATATAAAGATTCCATATCATTTTGAACTTTGTCAAAATCAACTTCAAAATCTTTATTTAAATAATTTTCCATAAAGAATCTAACTTCATCCCTCTTGATACGACCGTCGTTGATAACAAGATCTTGGAAATCTTCTCCATCTTTATAAGCATCGAGAACCTCTTGCATTCTTAAGTTTTCGTGTGGCATAGCGAGAACTCTATATTGAATGAAATCTTTATAAAAGTCTGGATTAAAGTTGTCGATTGATGATGGCTTGCTTGGTAAAACATCTTCAATTGGAGCGTCATATTTTTCATAACCAGCTGGAATTGGTTTATATTGTTCTTGTTGTTCTTGTTGTTTCTTAGATTGTTTTGGAATTTCTCTTTTGTTGACTTCAAGATAGTATTGTGAAAGTTGGTCTCTTAAATATTGATCACGAATGTTATCAAAGGAAAAAATATCTTTTGGTGCCATATTAATATTGTATTGTTGAAGAATTTCATCATTTTTTGTATCTTGAGCATCTTTATTGAATGAACGCTCTAATGGTCCTGAAAAGGATTCTTGTTTGGCTTTAGCCTTTTTGATAAAGTATGATGGGTTATCCATTAATTGATATTCTGGGTCTCTAGTAGAATTGATATTATTGGCAATTTCGTTTGGAAGAAGACCTGTTTCTTGGGCGATTTTAGCAATAATAGTAGATTGTTTGGATGGGTCTAATTCTGGGGCATTTTGGATGAGAGCATTTGATTGTTGATCAATACGAATAAGTCTTAAAACTTGTTCAAAAAGCTTTTGGTCTTTAATGATAGCATTTCTAATAGTTGATGGTGAAGATTTGAGATATTTAGAGATAATAACCAAATCATCATTAAAGAATCTTGAACGAAGGATTTGCTCTTTAGAGAATCTTTGAGTTTCATCTTGGTAAATGTTACTGTAGTATTTGTAGGCAGAGAATTTTGGATCATAAACCATAATATTACCATTTACTCTATCAACATATGGTGGGAATTCATCAGAGTAATCTTTCTTTAAAAGGCCAAAATTACCAACTTGCTCGAGAGAAATATATTGACGATAGAGTTGTTCACCATTGGCTTTATAGTTTTGAATAAATTTAATGAGAATATCAGTTCTAGTTGAATCTTTTAATGGATATTTGATTTCATATGGTAAAGCTTCACCTTGATCTTCCATTTGCTCTAATTCTTGAACTTGAGTAACTTCATTATCATCTGTGATATCTTCTGCTTCGCTTGGTCTTGGATTATAGTGTTGAAAAGCTTTAATAAATTCGATTCTAACAGCCTTTTCATTCTTTGAAACTTTTCCATTATATTCTTTGTTTGTAGTGGTGGTGTGAGCCATAGTTATTCTATCTGAAGCATCATAATATGATAAATCTGTTAATTCACCATCATCTGTCTTTAAATCACCATTTTCATGTATTCTTTGTTCTAAATAAATTCTAGCTGGATCTGAAGCTTCATCATAAGTTTCTAATGAAACGCTATCTTGGGTAGCTTCGACATTACTATTATTATTATTGTTATTACTATTATCGTTATCATTTTTTATATTAACATTTTTTTTTATTTTTTGCATTGAAAGTGCCATATTGAGTAAGTTGTTATCATCTTCGCCTTCTTTATTATCGTTGTTGTTATTATTTTCGCCATTGTTTGATATGGTTGAAAAAAGTCTAATTTGATTTTGAAGTGATTGTCTATATGTACCAATTGACTGTCTTTGTTTTAAGACAACTTTTGGTAATTTTCTCCAAACCATTTTTTACTTTTTCTTTTATTTTATTATTACAATTTATAAATATTAATAATAAATTAAAAAAAATAAAAATATGGTAAATTCAATTATTAATCCTAAATTCTATAAAAAATAAAATAATTGTTAATATATACATATATATATATTTTATAATGATTATAAATATTATTGAAATTTTTATTAAATGTAAAGATGATAGAAAAAAAAAAAAAAATTGTGCATATGCAAATAAATATTTCGTTTTCTTTATAACTATGATTTTATTTATTGATTATTTTGATTTTGATTTTTTGATTTTGATGTGTGTTATTGATTCTTTTATTGTTTTAGTTTTGTTATTATTACCTTTTTCTAAAGTTATTCAAGGTTAAAATTGAACTAAAAACATATAAAATAAATGTTTTCGAAAAAAATGATTAAGTTTTTTAAAAAAAATTATAAAAAAATAACGAAAAAAAAAAAATTAAAGAAAACAAAAAATTTTTTTTTTTTTTTTAAAAAATAAAAAAATTTTTAAAAGAAATTTTCGTACTTCAAAAAAAAATGAATTGTTTTGGCAAAAAAATTATTATTAAATAAAAAAAGAGACCAAAACAAATTATTACAATATTTTATAAAACTAATTAACAAAAATAGTTATGCTTAGAGTCAAAATTATTTGATTTTTTTTTTTTTTTTTGTTAATTTGTGTGTTTTTTTTTTTTTATTTGATTTTTTTTTTTTTGGGGAAACCAACCCTCATATTTAGGAAATATCTCAATTCATGGGTTATTGATCGATCAAGTATTTAAATAATTTAAAATAAATATCATAAAAAATTTAAAATATAATTATCATTAATTTTTAAACCATTGGGTTTAAAGGAGGTTTTTTTTTTTTTTTTTTTTTTTTTTTTTTTTTTTTTTTTTGGTCTTTTTTTCACCACCCAAAATAAAATAATAAAATTTTAATTTTAAATAATAGTATAAAACAATGAAATTTCAAAATTTTATTATTTGTATTAATATGTATAAAAATTTATTCAAAAATGATAATTCTATTAATATAAAAATATAATTATTATGTGGAAAAAAAAAGTTATTAATATAGAAAAAAACAATTTAATTTAATATAATAATTCAAATAGATTTATTAACACCCCACATGTGTATTGTGTTAAAAAAAAAAAAATTTTAAAATTTGATACACAAACTACATATTAAACTAAACACAAAATTAATTGAAAAATGGAAAGTAAAAAATAATTTAAAAATTAAATTAAATTTTTTTTTTTTTTTTTTTTTTTTTTTTTCAATTTTTTTAAATTTTTTTTTTTAATTTTTTTTTTTTTTTTTAAATTTTTAAATTTATATGTTAACCGTTAGAACTCTTACCCTCCTTTTTTTTTTTTTTAATATTATTTATTTTTCTAACAACATAACACCAAACAAACACATTTAATTATATTGTATTTAAATTCACCTCAACAACAACAATAACAACAGCAATAACAACGCATAATAATAAAAATAATAACTAATAATCCACTTTCTCAACGGATATAATAAAAAATAAAAAAATAAAATTATAATATAATATAAAATAAAATAAAAAATATTTTTATTTTTTATTTTTATTTTTATTTTTTTTTTCAAAATCATCTATCCATCATCATCTTCATTACTTTTTAGTTATATATAAATAAAATTTATTTGTATAAATTAATACTAATAGTAATAATAATTGTAGGTTATATATTGTTTTAAAAATTATAATGATTATTAATTAAAAAAAAATATAATATAATAATACAAATAATACAAATAATACAAATAATACAAATAATATAAATAATATATTATATAGTTATAATATAAAATTTAATTAACCTTAATTTTTTTAATAAAAACAATATATAGGAGGTAGAAAGAAGTATAGTTTAATCATTAGTTTTTTATTCAAAATTAATAAAAATTTTAAAACCCACAAAAATTCAAAAAGTAATAATAAAAAAAGAAAAAAAAAAGCAGCAATAAACATAATTCTAACAAATATCTTTATTATTTTAGCATTAGTTTAAAATTAACAACTAAATTTTTTTTTTTTTTAATATTTTTTTTTTTTATTTGAAGCATATAATTTTAATGTTCTTTAGAATAAGATCTTTAAGAATAGTATTTAAAATTAATCTTCTATAAAATATTATATTTGTAAAAAAAAAAAAAAAAACAGCAGCCATACAAATAGTTTAGGTTAATTCTTTTTTAAAAAATTTTAAAAAAAGAAAGTTAGTACAAAATGAATAACGATTCAGACACATTATCATATAGTTTTAATAAATTGGCGATCGGTCAACAGCAGCAACAACAACCACAGCAACTATCACAGCAACCAATACAATACCAACAACAATATTCACAACAGGTTAGAAATTTTAATTATAACCCATCATATGCACAAACATCCTCCCCAATTTATAATAGTTATGAGATCGATGATAATCAACAACAACATTCAATAACAAATAAGACTTATTTTCAAGCACCCCAGGGTTCTGCATTTAATTCAGCATCCATTATAACTAATACACATCATACTCAAAGAATAGTAAGCCCCTTAATGAATCAACAATCACCATCACCATCCCCATCACCCTCAATTCATCACCATTACCAACAATCACACCAACAGCAACACCATAATACAAGTTTATCGAGTGATATTAATGGTTTTAGCATTAACGGTATCAGTGCAATAAATGATAATGAAGATGATGAAGAGTCAAAACTAAACGAAGAGTTTCAAATTTTACAAAAATCCCTAGAGAATTTAAGCGATAGCGAGGAGTTTGGCCATCTTCATCATGGTAACGGTTATTATTACCCTGAAAGAAATATAAATGGTTTGCCACAAGGTAGTTCAACACCAACTTCATCCATTATTTCATCAAGACAACAACAGCAACAACAAAACCAACAACATTTTAAATCTACACCACCAATTTCACCTTATATTTACTCACAACAAAGTGAACATTCATCTTCATATCAACCATCATACCAACCAATCCAACAACAAAACAGATCCGCACCTACCACCCCAATTGGTTCATCAGTGTCACCTATGAATGGTTCAATAATGTCAACATCTTCACCAATTATAGGTCATGATATTATTTATAGTAGCAATAACAGTGGTAATTTATCATATAGACAACCACAACAACCACAATCACAGCCACAAAACCAAATCTCAAGGCCATTAAATTTATATCAAAATGGAACAATTTCTTCTCCATACGGCGATGTATGGTCATCTTCTTTACAATCTTCAGATAGCCAGTTTTTAATCCAAAACCAACAACAACAACAAACCCAAAATCAACAAATTTTATTACAAAGACAAGACCTATTATATAGTAAAACTTCGACATCAGCCTATGGACCAATTGTTACTAAACCACCTCCAATCCAATTACAACAACCACCCCAACAACAACAACAACAACAACAATCATCTTCGCCACAGGTCCAACAAAACTATATGTTTCAACAGTTTCAAAATCAAAGATCTAGTACTAATTCACCAAATCTAGCTGTCCCGGTTTCACCAAGAGAAATGGCCTCATCTCACAAACCGTTCAACCCACTGGTTGCCCCATTTCAACCAAATAAAAATACTTTTGTACCAATTTCCTATCAAAAAGATATTCAATATCCATCACCAAATATTAATTCCATATATAATCAAAATCCACAAAATTCATCACCAAGTATGGCACCCCTACAACAACATCAACAACAAATCCAACAACCCCTATCTCAACAAAACCAACAAGTTCAACAACATTTACAATCTCATCACCATCAACAAAACCAACAACATGGTCATAAACAACAACACCATCCAAATCAACATCATCATGGAAACCAACACCATTCTAATCAACATCACCACCATGGTGGTAATCAACATCATTCAAATCAACACCAACATCAACACCAACATCAACATCAACACCAACATCAACATCAACACCATAATAGTAATAATATAAATAGTAATAGCAATAATCAACATCATGGTAATCAGCAACATCATGGTTCACAACATTCAAATCAAAAGCATAAAAACCAACAGAATCAACAATCGCAACAATCTCAACAAAAGAGTCAACAATCACACCAAGCGCAACAACAAGCACAACAACAAGCACAACAACAGGCACAATTACAGGCACAACAAAACAATGAATCTGATAATGAAGAGTTATTGAGCACAAATCATTCAAAACCTCCACCACCAAATGAATCAAAAAGAGGAGAGCTAGTCGAGAGCCCAGTTTCAAAGCAACAATATAAGCATTTTATTAAACAATTTAAACTAAAGGAAAAGGAAGGCTTAGAAATTGCAATGGATTTTGCATTCCAATCATTAAATGTTTTACCAGAAAAAGTTCATTGGCGTGTTTATTTAGAATTGGCCGATTTAGCAAATAGACAAAATAATTTAAAGTTGGCTCGTAAATTTTATAGAAAAGTAACAAGTACTCAACCATATATTAGCCAAGGTTGGTTAGAGTATGCTAAAATGGAAGAAGATTACGGTAGATTAGAAAAGTGTCAAAAAATTCTTCAACTTGGTTTAAAACATTGCCCCTATAATGAAAGCTTGCTTATTAAAGGTATTAGACACGAAGAAAAAATGGATAATCTCGAAGGTGCCAGAGCATTACTTTCACAGCTACGTGATCAATCAATATATAAAACTTGGAGAGCTGTTATGGAGGGTGGTTTATTAGAAGCTAGAGCTGGTAATATTGATGTTGCTAGAAAGATTTTCAAGTATCTCATGAAACATGTCCCATGGTATGGCCCAATTTATCAAGAAGCCTATAAGTTAGAGGAGCGTTGCGAAGAATATGAAAGAGCTATTAATATTGTAGAGAAAGGTTTATTTGAAGATCCTAAATACGGTCCATTATGGTTCAGTGCACTCCGCCTTTATGAAAAAACTAGCCACGGTTTCCTTCAAGCTACTAGAAGTACAGTAGAGCGTGCAAGACAAGCTGTTTCAAGAGAAGTTACATGGAAAATTTATTTTGAAGCTGCCCAGATCGAGGAGCGTTCAAAAAATCTTACCCTATCACGTGCTGCCTATGTTAAAAGTGTTGAATTATGCCCAGAAAATCTTTTATGGAAAGTTTGGTTAGGCGGAAGTAGAACCGAATTAAATGCTGATAATATCGCAGTCGCAAGAAAATTAGTATTTAGAGCACTTAACGAAGTTCCATCAAAATTAAGATCACTTGTACTCTTAGAGTACTCCAGATTGGAAGAATATGCAGGTAACATTAACAAATCTCGTCGTATTTTAAAAATTGCTCACGTTGAAGCTCGCTTGGATTGGAAGGTTTTCTTGGAAAGCGTATTGTTAGAAATGAGAGCAAATAACTACGAAGCCGCTATTAAAGAAGCTAAAGAATCATTAAAGATCCATAGTGGTGCTGGTAGACTATGGGCAGCTCTTATTCAATTAAATCAATTAAAAGGTGTTAAGGCTCAACTACACGTATTTAAAAAAGCATTACAATTTGTAAGTATAGATGGATTATATTGGCATACTTGAAGAGTTACTAATTTTATTTTTATTTAGGTTCCAAAATCAGGTGAAGTTTGGTGCGAAGGTGCTAGAATTGCATTAAATAATAATGAACCAGAAGAAGCAAGAAGATTTTTGGAATTTGCTATTCAATTTACACCACAATTTGGTGATTCATTCATCGAATTACTTAGATTGGAAATCATGGAAAAAGGTCCAAATTGTGATATTTCGAAATTGGAGCAACTTTGTATTAATGCTGATCCAAATTATGGTTTCATGTGGCTCCATTGTACCGTTAGTGTATTAGATAGTGCAAGACAGGTCCTAAGAAATGCTAAAAAACTTTTATTAGAAATGACACCTCCAAAAGAGCAATACGAACGTGAAAAGAAGCCAAATTATGGTTCATGTTGGGTCGGTGCTGAAGGTGTTTTATCTCTTAATTTAAACACAAGAAATAGTTGGCCACTAAGTAATGAAAGTAGAAGAAAGAGTATGTTTGGTTCTGATCTTGTTAAACCATAATAATATTAATATAGCAACAAATAAATAATAATCAATAGTAATAAAAATAACAATAATAATAATAAATAATATTAATAAATAATAATTATGATATTATAAACATAATAAAAAACCTCTGTAAATAAAATTAAAAATTAAAAATTAAAATCTTTTTTATTTATATTATTTATTTATTTATTTTTTTAAAAAGAAAAAGCGTCAACTAATAATTTGGCGGTTTCTTTTTTATGGATAGTTGAGATACCAGTGGCTGGGGCAGCTAAAGGTGGTCTGCCAATATATTTAATATTTGAGGTTTGATCGAAACGTTGTTTGAAACGTGGTTCAACAAATGACCAAGCACCACTATTTTGTTGTTCTTCTTGGACCCAGGCAAATTTGGTGGCATTACTGTAACGATTGATTTCTTCTTGTACACGTTCATATGGGAATGGAGCAATTTGTTCTAAACGAACGATAGCAACATCTTGAATATTTTTGGCTTTTCTTTCTTCTTGGAGATCATAAAAGATTTTGCCGCTGCAGAAAATAACACGTTTAATGGCTGATGGGTTACTAACGGTATCTGGATCGCTAAGAACAGTTTCAAAGTGGGTACCTGGTGCCATATCTTCGATTGGAGAGAAGCAGGCTGGGTGACGAAGTAAAACTTTTGGACCAGCAACAATTAATGGTTTACGATAGTTACGAATCATTTGACGACGAAGAGCATGGAAATAATTTGCTGGGGTTGATGGATTGATAAAGTAGAAATTGGTTTCTTTGTTTACAAGCTCTTCATCTCTTACATTAACAGCTTCGGTATCGCTAAGTTGGAGGAAACGCTCAATACGACATGATGAATGTTCTGGACCAGCACCATCATAACCATGTGGTAAAAGAAGGACGATACTACTTTGACGTAACCATTTGGCTTCGCTTCCTGAAATAAATTGATCAACAGCAACTTGAGCAGTGTTTACAAAATCACCAAATTGAGCTTCCCAAATTGGAAGAGTTTTTGGTGATTCTAATGAATAACCATATTCGTAACATAAGACTGCAAATTCTGAAAGATTACTGTTAACAACCTCTAATTTACCTGAAGCACCCATATTATTAAGTGGTTGATAAACACGATCTGTAGCTTGGTCATGTAAATTGAAATGTCTTTGACTAAATGTACCTCTACCAACATCTTGACCTGAAATTCTAACATTATAACCTTGTTTCATGAGTGATCCAACAGCCATAGATTCAGCAGTGGCCCAATCAGCTAAATTTGATTTTAATTTATCAAGACGAGCATTACCGAATGAACGATTTAATCTTTGATGAACACTGAAATCAGCTGGAACTTTAACTGAATCTTGAGCGATTTGTTCGAGCTCTTTAACGTTATAACCGGTATCTAATTTAGCATCGTTTTGAATAGTTTTAGATTGAATTAAACCGCTCCATTTGCCTTGGAGATGATCCATTGGTGAATATTTAAAGTTTTCTGGTTGTGCAAGTTGGAATTGGGCTTCAAGAGCATCTTTTTCAGCTTGGGTGAATGAGGCGAGTTCAGCTTCACTATAGATACCTTCAGAAATGATCTTAGTTGCATATCTTTGTGGAATTGATTGTCTTCTACGAATGTTATCATACATTGTTGGTTGTGTGAAAGCTGGCTCATCGACTTCGTTGTGACCGAATTTTCTCCAACCAATTAAATCGATAACAATATCTTTTTTGAAACGTTGACGATATTCGACAGCTAATCTGCTAACCTTTTCAACTTGTTCTGGTGATTGGGAATTTACAATAATAATTGGGGCACCAATATATTTACCAATATCACTACTGTAACGATTGGTACGGCCATTACTTGGAATAGTAGTGAAACCAATTTGATTATTAACAACAACATGAATACAACCACCAATAGTGAAACCTGGGAGTTGAGAAAGTTGAAGAGTTTCTGTTACAACACCTTGACCAGCAACAGCAGCATCACCATGTAACATTAAACAAAGTGACTCTGAACCACCATTGGAAGCTTCATAGAATTGTTTAGCACGAGTTTTACCTGCAGCAACTGGGTCGACTGCTTCTAAATGTGATGGATTATGAATGAGAGAAACATGAACCTTTTCACCATTATTAAACTCTAAATCACTACTAACTGCAATATGTGAAGTAACATCACCAAGACCAATTGTATTTTCGTCAAATTCTGAATTACCTTTAACTTTCCAAAAGAAATCTTTAGCTGGGTATTTACACATTTGCACTAAAAGATTTAATCTACCTCTGTGTGGCATACCAATAACAACATTCTTTAATTGGCTTTTGGCTGATTCTTTAAAAATTGCATCACATGATACCATCATAGATTCATTACCTTCTAAACCATATCTATAAAAAAAAAAAAAAAATTTATAATTAATAAAAAATTTTAAATTTTTTTAATTTGTTAATTTAATCGAACATGATTTTAAAAGTACTCATATCATTTGGGTTATTATTATTATTATTATTATTATTATTATTATTATTATTATTATTATTATTGTTATTATTATTATTATTATTATAACCATTATAAATTTTACCTTTTAAAAGTTGGGAATTTCTTTTGCATAAAGTGATCAAAAACTTCAGATTTAATTAAATTTTTTAAGATTTCTACTTTTGATTCATTTGAAATTGTTTCATTTTGGATACTTTCAAATTTTTCATAAAGCCATTCCTTTTCTTCAACTGATTCGATGTGAGAAAATTGTGCTGTGACGTCATCGCAATAAGCTTTTTCAAGGAATTGAACAACCTCATCGATGGTATCTACGTCCAATTTAATAATTTCTTTAACTGATGGGATTTCTAAGTCCTTGTTTAAATTGTATCTATCTAAATTTAAAAGTTCACTTCTAACTCTTTCCATTCTTGCTAATGGATCAATATTGGCTGCTAAATGACCATGATTTCTATAACCGTCGACTAATCTTGAAATATTTAAAAGGGTTGAATTATTTGTTGAATAACTTCTTACTACATTGACTGTAGTTTTGGAGTTTTTGATAACTGATCTTAATCCAATCATTTCTTTTTTTATCGATCTTTAAATTAAATAAAAAAGTTTTAAATTTATAAAATAAAAAAAAAAAATAAAAAAAGAGAAACAAATATATAAAAATATAAATAAATATATATTATGTTTTTTTATTAAACAAATGAAAAAACTAAATTAATGAACAAAAAAAAAAATTTTAAAAAAAAATATAAAAAAAAAGAAATTTAAAAAAAATCAAAAAAAAAAATTTTAAAAAAATTTTAAAAAATTAAAATTTTATCGTTCACTTATCACACACCATATATGTTAGTTTATATGTGTGGTTTGTGTTGGGTGGTGTGTGTGATTGAGAGTTTAAATATAGAAATAATAAGAAAAAAATCCAAAAAAAAAAAAAAGAAAAGATAAAATTAAAAAAAAAGAAAATTTTATACTTGGGGGTAAAATAGTTTTAAAAAAAAAGTAAAAAAAATATTACTTTCCAGTTTATTAATTTATTTTTTTTTTTTTTATCAAAAAAAAATAAAAAGTTTAATAGTAGTTTATAATATAAATATTTTCTATTTTTTTTTTTTTTTTCTTTTAAGTTATTTGTTTTTATTTAACTTTATTTATAAAAAAAAAAATAGAAATTTTTTAAAAAAAATTATATTATTTGTAAATGTATTGTTAATACAAATGATTATTATTATTATTATTATTATTATTATTATTATTATTATTATTATTATTATTATTATTATTATTATTTGTTATTGTGTTAGTTGCTTATTATTGTTGCTTTTTTTTTTTTTTTTTTTTTTTATTATATTTTGTTTTTTTTTTTTACAAGACTTCAGCTACATTCATTAAAAGGGAATGTTGAACTGAATTGAAAACGACTTCAATGGCGTGTGAATCAAGAGCGCAAGTGAAATGGTGATATACAATTTTATTTTGATTTGTAATAGTACCGTGGAATTTGTTTTTGATGAATTGTGAGGTTTCTTCATATGAATAATTGTTACCAGTAAAATCATTTAAGTGTTGTGAAAGTGGAATTCTTTTAATTTTTTCTTTAAAGAGATCTACTTTATTAAAGAAGACAACGAATGGACTCTTTGTGAACCAACCACTATTAACCATTTCTCTGAAAAGTTCTAATGAATCTGTAAATCTACTGGTGGAATTATCCTCTTCTAAAACTGTGTCATAATCATTAATTGATGTAACAAATAAAATTGCTGAAATATCTTGGAAACAATGAATCCATTTTCTTCTTTGATTCTTTTGGCCACCAACATCGACCAATCTAAAATTGAATAAAAAAAAATAAATAAAAATTAATATTTGATCATAAAACTATTAAATATTATTAATATCATTATCATTATTATTATTATTATTATTATTATTATTATTATTATTATTATTATTATTATTATTCACATTATTTTTATTTTTATTATTTTTATTTTTTTGAAATTTCTACGGTCCGATAAAAAAATCGATTTTTTTTTTTTGAAAATTTTTTTTTTTATTCAAAAAAAATTTGGGAACACTGGGTTTAGATATTTTGATTTTTTGATTTTTTTGATTTTTTTTTATCTTTTTTTCGTAAATTTTTGTTTGGGAAAAAAAAAAAAAACTGAACGTAAATCCAAAATAAAATAAAAAAATAAAAATAAAATAAAAATATAACTTACTTAAATGGAACAGCTTCAATTTTAAAATCAGCCTCCACAATACCAGTGGTTTTTACTCTAACTCTTAAATAATCATTTTGTGAAGGTTTGAATGGTTTAGAAAATCTATCAATATTATTCATCAAGCTTCAATAAAAAAAAAAATGGGGAATTAGTGATGAGTTTTTGAATGATTAAGATATTTTTTTTGCGAAGTGAAAAAAACGTAAATTTAAAAAAAATTTTATATCATCAAAATATATTTTGGTATGTGAATAAAATTTTATAATAAAAAAATAAAAATATTATATGAAAATAAAAAAACCGTATTTTACAATTGTTATTGAACAGAACCATTATTGGCATAAATTATATGTGCTGTTATTATTATGATATGATATGATTAATAAAATTGATTATTAAAATTTATTACTTACTATTCAGTAGAGTCGTTTAATTGATATATTCTTTTTGGGTGGTTATATATGGTTTGAACTTGTTTGGTATTCCAAAGATATTTAATATTATCTGCAATTGAGGTAAAAGTTGATTGGCTTAAGGTTTCTAAATCATCAAATACACGTAAAATAGTTTCGATCTTTTGGTTTTCTTCTTCAGAGAATTCGATTTCATAACTTGGAGCAACCTTGATAAAAGTGTTCATGGCTGTGACGATATTTAAAAATATATTTCTAATGACATAGTCTGATGGTGGAGTATATTCCTTTCTAGTTTGTTCATCTTGGAATGAAATGATTTGTTTGAAAATAGTTGATTTACCACATTCACCACTACCTAATAATAATAATTTGAGTGGTTGTAATTGGCTTGATTCAACTCTAATTTCCCTATCGATTTTTTTACTATTTAAATATTCTGTTGTAAGTTCTTTTTTATTTCTGGTGCACATTTTATCTATTAATCTTTATGATATTTGATTATTACTATTACTAATAATTAGAAAATATATAATGGTTAATAACAATTTTGATTATAATTAAGATTGATTATTATAAACAAATTTAGTTTGTTCTATTTTTTTTTTTTTCTTTAAAAAACAAAAAAAAAAAAAAAATTATTCTGAAAAATAAAAAACAATAAAAAAATAAAAAAAATAAAATTATATATAAAATAAAATAAAAAATAAATTCAA